GCTGGCTGAGGAACTCTGGGAGTTGAAGTCCACAAGTCTTAAAGTTGCCAAGGTTGGAGACCCCTGCTGTGGTGTATATGTGATTTAATCTTATAAATACAATTTGAACAGCCTGAGCTGCATCTTCATTCATGGTACTTTTTAACCCAATACCCTAATGAGTAGAATAAAGGAAATATTTATTTGCTTCCTTTGTACAGGAAGCTTAAAGGCTTATCTCAATAACAGCATATGTTCCTAAAAGAAGAAGATGATGATGATGATGAATAAGGCAGGGAAAGAAGTGGGACAATCACTACAAAGTCCTCATTGGCACTTTTTTTCCTTTGTCTGCGCATAGATGAGGGCAGAAGCTTTGCTCAAACAGATATATTGGCTTGCAATGGATGATGGAAGCATCCTAAGAATACCAGGATGAGGGAGTCCAGAGGACTAAATTAGATGCATTGTGATTCACTTGATGCATTAAACTCACTTCTTCCCGTAAAGTGATAGAAGTTTTACTCTAAGGTGTAGTAGAAAGAGATATCAAGCCTTCTTCTTGCATATTTTTCCTTTCCATGCCAATATCTCCAAACTTTCTTCTTCCTTCCAATTTCTATGTTCATAGTGATTTGACTGAGTACCATGTGCATCTAGGATTTCTAATTATTTTAATAAAGGCATGGCTGCCGCCTTCATTTTCAAACCTTCCGGAAATGTCTGACTTCACCTTCTGTATCTGGGTTGGCAAGCAGTTTTGAGAATTGGTCCAACACATTTGGACGGCATCAAGCTGGAAAGGGCCATGATATAGAATAGCTCAAAGATCATTTAGGATAGAGAAACATAAAAGTTTCTTAAACCTTTCCAGAAAAGAAATGTCTAAAAATCTTCCACGGCAATTCCAGTTTGTACAACATACTAAAGTTTAAATTTGGATCAACAAAATATAATTCCTTAATATTCTTGATCGAAGAAAATAAATTGGTTGATCCCACAACATGCTGAGCCACAAACTATCCATTCACTTTAGTCCAATCTAAGATGTTGTATAAATACAGAGTTGTATAACACTGGTTTGCCTCAAAGAAGGACTTTAATTCTTCAAATTATTGGGGAGAAATAAATTGGATGGATAAAGTATTCTAGATGTTTTTGAGAATGGATTTCATTTGCTTATTCCTGATCTAGTTCCTCTGCCTTTTTGTTTTTTTTAATTAAAAGAATACTTCTACAGGTTCATGCAGAAAAAGTAGCTACATTCACCACTCTAACTTACACCTAGATCACCCCATAAGTACACCTGATAAATTATTCGTAGCTGATGTGGATTTTCCCCTCCTTTCTTCACAAATCCAGCAAAATAAGTGGAAGGGATATATAAAACATGTTTTAAGAGCTGCTGGACATTAAAAAAAAATAAAAATAAAACACAGGATACAAAGGAAAAAGAAAAGTTGTATCATCGGAACAAATGGATCGATGGATAAGAATTCATGTGGTTTAGGGGTCAAAAAGAGAAGCAATTTATAGTCAGAAGATAATGAGATGTATTGAGGGTGAACTGGAGAATCACTAATACATCTTTTCCTTGAAAAAAATTTTTTTTTTAAAATTAAAGATACCAGGAATGAAGGGGGGAAGATTTGGAGCATGAGTCAAATGGTGGATGCTACATGACACATTCATTAGAGAATAAGAGAGTTTTGTCTGGCCGAGAAAAGAAGAGCTGAAGGAGGGAAGGGACCATTCATACTTGTCAGAGTCAGCACATTCTTTAGATTTCTTCCAGGAGGGTACCACAGACTAGTACCAGGAATGGACAATGTGGGCAGAGGCAATAAGCCAGGCTGGCTCTGTCAAGGTGCAATGAAAGAGGAGGAGGAGAAGGGCCTGCAAGAGACCCCCAGCAGTATTCCAGGATATATTTGAATCAGCTTTTGCCTTTAAGTTAACCCTATGTTTGGAAACTTTCCAGAGCGAGTCTCACAGTCTCTCTATTCTTCTATTGTATCTGTAGAAAGTTCAGATGAAGTACCCTAAATGCCCCAGGGCACTTTCGGTTGCAGGCCCTTCTACTGTATACAATTGGTGCGAAACACCAGCATGCCTTTTTCCCTAAAGCTGTCAGGTTTTTTTTTGTGTTAGGTTTCTGACAGCTGAAACATTTTTGGTGCAGGAGAAGCCTTCCTTGGCTTTCATGTCAGCTTGCTGTCAGGATGGAATGATGCCCTTAGCGGCACTTAGCTCCTTCAGAGGCCTTTTGACCTGCAACCCAGTTGAGAGTTGCTGCATTTTACAACTTTGCCTTAGGAAACGAAATCTGAATTGAAAAAGGATCATTGCTGAAAGGAGAGAGGGGGGGGGTATCTGTCCATTTGTGAAGGAATTTGTGTGGTTCTCCTGAACACGCTTGAAGAGCAGGTGGCAGGCTTGGCTAGGATGGCCTTTGCAAAGCTCTATGTTGTGGGGTAATTTATCCCTTTCCTAGACTGGGAAGCAGTGCTTAAAGTCATCATGCCTTGTTCACTTCCCTGGTTGGGCTTGACTACTGCAAAGAGCTTTACATGGGGCTGACTTTGAAGAGTATTCACAATCTTCAGTTGGTGCAAAATATACTGTTGTTCGGTACATGTCACACCTCTGCTCCATGAGATGTATTGGCTGCCACTCTGCTTCTGGCTTCAGTGTGTGGTGCTGGCACTAAAGCCGTTCATGGATTGGGGCCATGTTACTAGAAAGGATCATCTCTCCCCAACTGTATGTCTATCCTGTTAGATCCAGCAGGACAGGCATGTTCCAGATCCCATCCATTAGAGCAGGGGTGTCAAACTCACGTCATTATGGCGGCATCACATGAGGCATTGGGACTTTTTTCCCCTTCACTAAACCTGGCATGGGCATGGCCAGCGTGTGATGCATCCAGCCTACGGGCCAGGAGTTTGACAGCCCTGCATTAGAGACTGTCATGTCACAGGACCCAGGAAAACAGCCTTTTTTGTTGTGATGGTGCTTGCCCTCTGGCACAGCATTTCCCCAAAGAACAGAATTGTCTGGACACACCGGTGAGATTTGGTAAGGACTTGATTTTGTCATCAAGCCTGGAAGCCTGGGTGTAGCTTCAAACAGTTGCTAAACCACCAGTCATAAGTTGAGGAGTATTGCGATGACCCGGGGCGTGGCGCAAAGGCAACACAGTCACATAAGTAAGAAGACTCCCTTTAGTACCTCCAACTTTGCCCCCAATGTCCAGGTTACCTTCCTCTGGAGAAAAAACTCTCCCAAGAACAGTCTTTAAGTGGACGAAATTCAATCCGAAAGCAAAGTACATACAAACTGTAAATAAAAATCCACACAAACCATGCTGCAGTAATTAACTTGACAGGGCAGGAGAAGGAATTGCAGACTTGAAAGGCCAACAAAACTACACACAGTTGGGAAGACACCAGGAACCAGATAAGCCTTGACAATACCAGATAATTTGCTGTGTGCAACTTCCCTTTTTAAACACTGCGTTCCCAGCTGCAGCTAATGAAAGGAATCAGGGGTCTTTCCTCCCCCGTATGTTGCTCCCTTTTCTGTTCCTCCCTGCATGCCCTAGGATGAAGAGAGGGTGGGCCTGGATCTTCCTCCGAATTCCCCCTCCCTTACTCTACCTCTCCCCTTTTCTGCCCAGCCGGACTTTGCCCTTCCCCAGTTTCTTTCACAGCCAATGGAGCCACACTCCCACTCCCTGTCAGCTGCTCGGCCTCCCTCTCCAAATCAGATTCTGACAGGGGCATGACAACTATCTGTACCTTGTTTTTTTTAGAATCATTAGCTGACCAAAGTCATGTCTTTTGATTTAAGACTTTCATTCTGTCCCAAATTCTTAACAACAAAATGAGTTCTGCATTGGTTTCCTGTCCTTACTGTTCATAATGTAGAGCAGCTGTCCACAAACTAATACCTTCATTAGGTGCATTTGGTTTTCAAACTCTGTTTCCCCGGCCTTCATGGTCAGTGGTTGTATTGACTGACAAAGATTAAAGGGAAGGGAATGTCCAGGAAGTATGTCAAAACTGCACGTAAAAGCCATGAAAAGAAAGGGCTCCATTAGCCTGGAGCTCTTAGTGAGAAGCAGCAAACATGAGGCTTGGAGACTTCCAGTTTATGGCCAAATGACATCCAGGTAGAGATAACCTTCTCTTCTGTGTTGGTTTCCAGATACATTGAACTTCAATGTTTATAACCTGAATAGAAATCTCATATACTGTGTCTGTAATATGAATTTTGCATAAGGATGCTTTAAGACAGTGGTTCCCAACCTTTTGGGCACCAGGGAACAGTTCCATGGAGAAAGGTTTTTCCAAGGACCAGAGGGGTTGTGACTTGTGTTCTGCCTGCATCCTGCAGATGGGGCTTCACTTGTTTGCGTGGCCCAGTTGTTGCATGCTGCGGACCAATGCCAGTCCATGGACTGGCGGTTGGGGACCCCCGCTTTAAGGCTTTTGATTATATTTTATGAAGCAATCATAAGATTAAGATCAAGATACTAAGGAAGAAATTGATGTTAGCTGGAGAATCTTGCTCAAAATAGCAAATGTTTATTGTGGTCTTTTCTTATAATATAAAGCATTCGTTTTATCAGTACTTAATAGCACTGTGTGCCACAACGTTCTCTTTTTATCAGTAAAGGCCAGTAAAGGGTGCAACATCCCTTCGTATTTTTGGTTTAATGTCCCATATGGGCAATTTTTAAACTATTTTCACCTCATTTCTTAGTGGCAATGCAAACCTAGGCATATGTAACAGATAATCAGAGTTGGAAGGGACCTTATAGGTCATCTAGTCCAACCCCCCACCCAAGCGGGAGACCCTACACCATTGCTGACAAATGGCAGTCCAATGTCTTCTTGAAAGTCTCAAGTGATGGCGCTCCCACAACTTCTGAGGGCAAGCTGTTCCATTGGTTGATTGTTCTCACTGTCAGAAAGTTTCTCCTTATTTCCAGGTTAAATCTCTCCTTGTTCAGTTTCCATCCATTATTCCTTGTCTGGCCTACAGGCGCTTTAGAAAATAGCTTGACCCCTTCCTCTCTGTGGCAGCCCCTCAAATATTGGAAGACCTCTATCATGTCTCCCCTGGTCTTCTCTTTACTAGACTAGCCAAGCCCAGTTCCTGCAACCTTTCTTCATATGTTTTAGCCTCCAGTCCCCCAATCATCCTGGTTGCTCTTCTCTGCACTTTTTCTAGAGTATCAACATCTTTTTCATAATGTGGTGACCAAAATTGGACGCAGTACTCTTGGTGTGGTCTTGCTAAGGCTTTATAGGAGCCTATATGGACTCAGAAAGAAGACTCAGCTGATGACACAGGAGGTTGCAGACCTAGAATGGCACATCATTTATTATATGAGCAGTTTTAATAAATATATATTTATTATGGGTAATCCTTGACTTACAACACTTCATTTAGTGACTGTTCGAAGCTACAGCGACTCTGAAAAAAGTGACACGATCATTTTTTACACTTACGGCCGTTAAGGCATCCCCATGGTCATGTGATCAAAATTCAGACCCCTGGCAACTGACTCACATTTATGACGGTTGCAATGTTGTGTCATCTTGTGATCCCTTTTTGCAACTTTCCAACAAGCCAAGTCAATGGAGAAGCCAGATTGACTTAACAACCCTGTTGCTAACTTATCAACCGCAGCCATTCACTTAACATCTGTGGCAAGAAAGGTCGTAAAATGGGGCAAAATTCACTTAACAAATGTCTCACTTAGCAACAAAAAATGTTGGGCTCAATTGTGGTCGTAAGTCAAGGACTACCTGTGTTTGCCTTTTCTGGGCAAAAGAATGGGAAAACCTCAAGGACTGTTAAAAGTTGAAATGCAAGTCAGATGAAGAATCCGATCCAGCCTGATCTAGATTCTAAAGGATGGCTAAATATTTTAACTAATCCAAATCACTGGTGGAAAGTTGTGGTAGCACAAGGAAATGAACAGAGAGCAATGCAGTGTGGCTTAGATTAATTCTTAAAATCCCTTGTTTGCCTTGTAAAATTACTCAGATTACAATTTCCTTGTTTCACTGGACTTTCTCATATAAGTGATAGACAGACCATGAACAAGAAAGGCCTGTCCTGTAATCTGTGGTATGTGTTATCCCACTGAGTGAAGTTTTCTGAAATAATTTCGACAAGCCAGAAGGATGATACCTAAAAGGTAAAGGGAGTGAATCATCTTCATACTTGAATTATATGTTTCCCACAGTCTGAAGCGCAGCCCATGCATTCCAACTTGTCTTGTACACTTCAGTTCACCACCCAGGAAAGAAAACTGCATTCTTTCAGAGTTCTACAAATGCTTGATCATCAGCAAAGTTGTTTCAAGCCCTTTGTGTTACACCAACAACATTATTGCTTTACATAAAAAGGATGACTGTGTGAGTGGATTGTGTAAAGAAGTATACTGTTGTGGTTTATGGTGTCAACAAACGTTGAGAGTACCATGTCACAGAATATTACCTGAAGCATTTTATGCTTTTAGGTGTCATATATTTTTCTAACGATGACTTAGAAAATACTACTCATGAAAAGCTATGGTATCACATGCTCACCTTAAATAGGATAACTTATTCCTAGGGATTCTATGTTTGGAACTGGGAGACCGGTCTGATTAGTCCAGAAGGAATATATTGAAAGAGCCCTCAAGGTCTTTTCTTACATGCATAAGATAACCTGGTCCAGATTTTTCATTCAAGCAGCCCTGTTAGCTTTAAGCTACTAACCCAAGATGGCTTTATTTTTCTCTAATCCAAGATTTGGTTCTGTCTAAACCACCCAAAGACCATTAAGATTTCAGGGTATGTCCTACAACATGAACAATATAGCAACTCATCAAAATATTATCTTCTGGGGTAAGCAATGTTATGCAAGGGTAGCAAAGGAAAAATAAAAAGCATGCCCCTAAAATTAAAGGCCTGAAAGAACAGGAGGGGGAAAGGAAACAGTTAAATCTAATTCACATTGAGTCATACTGAGTTATCTCAGTATATTGCCTTTTGTTTTTAGTCCTCTCAACTCCCTTTTCCTAAGGATCTCATCAACCTCATTCAATGAGGCCTTTCTTGATCTTCACCTTCCCTTTGACCTATTCATTCTTCCTTTGTTATATGCAATGCGATCAACATTTATTCTCTGTATGAAACCTCAGTGACCTTCCCTAGTACTGGTTACACACTTTGTATTCAACCAACATCCATTTATTACCCACTCATCCTTGATTACGTCTCTTCTTATATCATCACAAACACTTCTTAGAAATACTTCGTCAACATGAACTTATATTTCCTCTGAAATATAATACCCAATACTCCATACAACAAAGATGATAGATGCATACCTTTATACCCAGCTATTTTTGATACTACTGCCGTTACTGTATTTGAACTGGTTTTACAATCCCATCACTCCAAAGCTGGAGTCTTTAGACTTGGGAGCAAACATCCATGGTCTATCGTGAGTGAAGTTCTATTAATGACTCACCAGCATATCTGTCTTCCCATTGCAGCTTCCCACTGTTTGGGACAATAATGCACAAGGTGCTGACCTAGCGCTCTGGAGACGAATATTTTCTAATATATCTCAAGCAGTACAAAAGGTAAGTGAGCATGGTTTTAAAATTTAAATATTGTAGTTCAATTTCTCTAAAAGGTATCTGGTTGGAGGCGATGATTGTGTTGGGTACAATCTGGTCATTAGAGTAAATGGGCTTATTCAAGACCAATGTAGAAGCTACATGTTACCCAGGTCTGGCCACGCTATTCTGGCCCCGGAGACAGAAATTTTCCTAAGATTAAAATGACTAAAATAACAAACAGTGTGGCAATGCTTGTGTTTTCTTCTAATGATACCGTTATCGGCTACTTTATGTTATGCTGGCAAAATCTTCTAACTCTCCCCACCCACCCATTGAGGCAATTAAAAACCTATCTCATTGCTAATTTTTGGCACAACAATAATTAATAATTAATTATAGAAAACACAGTCAGATGCTTTTGCCTAATGGTAGAACCAGTTAAAATGGAGCACCATAAGAATACCATGTTTATTTATTTTCTTTTTAGCCTCTGACCAAGAAGGGGGCAGATTTCCTTATCTATATTTACAGTAGCGTTCTTTGATCCACAGAGGCTGCAGTGGTTCTTCATTTAAAAATCATTAAGATGCCTTTTTTTGTGCCAGTTAATTCACAGGCCAAGCACTCGGGTGCTTTTGTCAACACTCCAGCCACTTCTTCAAGAGGAAGAGCCAGCATCTTTACCACAGTTGCTGAGTATTTTATCCAACCTGTTCTGTGGTTACCCAGAGGGTGGTGGATCCAGAATACTATCTTTAAACTGGTATGAAGATAATAATTACAAGGCCTTCCTTGGAATTGATGCTAAAGAAAAGGAATCCGTTTATTTTTATGACAACTCAACCAGTAAGTCTCCCATTTGGATTGTGACTTCATGTGAGATTGATGGATTGGCCTAGCCCTAGACAGTAATAGTGTCCCTACCCTATTAGCCATTTAGACTGTTTGGCCTGAACAATTAGTGTTTCATCTGAGTTAAGGCAAAAAGCAGCTGCAACCATTAAGATAGGGATCTGACAGCTGTGTATCTTTGCTGGTAGTGCAAAGGTGCTGTCTTCTCTGAGACTGGTAGTTTGAGAACCACCAGGTGCTTCAAAGAGAGCTACCAAAGACTCAGATGTGGGCAGTGGTAGAACTTCCAGCCATTAAAAAAGATTTCTGTAGAACTGGCAAAATGGTTCTTGCAGAAAATTCTTTTGTTAAAAAATGCTTGATCTAAAAAGCTCACTCCTATGTTTAAATAACTGGGAATGGAATTCCTAAGCTACTGAATTATTTGTAAAAATAATAAAGGTGAGATACAAAAAAACCCCAAATGCTATTTGTCATTATATTAAGTGCTATTTAATGAGAATGGTCTGCTTGGTTTGCTTTCACTGAACTTCCTCTGTTTATTCAGTATTGTATGAAATGTAGATGGCCTTTACATATGAACTTATAAATAAGTTGCATTAAATGGCATCTTTTGCATTTGATGTTAGCAGCAATTTATGTGATTTTATTATTTTTCAATAACCTTCACAATTATGAGCAATTCAGGAATAACTTATTTTTGTATAATCAGCAAACTAGCTAGTTGTCTTAAATTCTTTCTGTTCTCAGGGTCTTGATCTGTAAAGAATTTGAGCAAATAGGATTGATCCAATAGTAAGGTGAAGTTTTTAATGAATATTTGAAGATAGAATTTGAGGTATCCCAAAGTTATTGTGAGGGCCAGTTTTTTACAGAAACGTATACAGGTCTATAGGAATGAACAAAAAGCTTTTGCTTTTGTGGGTGTGTCACATGTATATGAGCTGGAGACTCCAAAGCTAATCATGAAAAACATTTGTCATATGATATTATGCTTCACATTATTTCTGTATAAGAACACATTTTATTATAATGAAGTCCAGTCTGTCTTGAAATGCAGAATGTTTTGATTACAGAAATGTATGATGTGTGATTATTCTATTTTTGTTTTAATGCTATGTAAATATTAAAGTTTTTATTCACTTCATTGACAGAACTCTCTTTTAAAGTTTGCACAAATAAAAAAAAACCTAGGAAAAAGTAACCAACATATTTTCCCTTCATTTCTCTCTCTTACTTTAAAAACAAAACAAAAATAGCCCTGGCCATGGCCAATTTGAGTTTACTATTCCAGCTTTCAAGATTTCAAGAGTTAGATATAAAAGAACAGAAAAAAAGCGAGAGGGAAGAAAAACGTGTCTGCTGTACAGTGCTCTCAATAAATGTAGTATTCCTCTTCCCCAACTTTTATTCTTGTTTTTGTAACCAGGAACATGGCAGATATACAAATACAGAACAAGTTGTTCTGCTCAGTCTGTTCAGTCCCTAGGGAGTGTGATTTTCTTTTAGTAATATGAAAAGATTCTTTCAGGAGAATAGACTCTGCGGGATGCATTAAATAATGAGAGTAGCTCAGTATTATATAATGTAAGTTGTGTTTTTTTCCCCCTTATCCTCTTCTAACAGCACTCTTTTGTAATCAGCTGATACAAACCATGGAATCAAACACTTTAACCAAAGTAATTTGGATAACTATGAAACCATTGCTGATGGGGAAAATCCTCTTTGCTCCTGATTCACCTGCGGTACAGAAGATACTGAAGAATGTAAGAGTTTTTCCCCCTTCCTTCATCCTTTTCTAATTATTTCTATGGACATTATTTTTGTGTTTGTTTGTTTATATTTCAGGTTTCTAGACTGCCCATCTCCCTCCCATCTTAAAGTAATTTAGTAGAAAGATCTATTGAACTAAGCAATTAAGTTATTATCACCAAAATACATTTCATTGTCAAAGCATTTTCTACTACTGCTTGCTTTAAACACACACAGAGAGGGAGGGAGAGGGGAAGGAAGGAAGGAAGGAAGGAAGGAAGGAAGGAAGGAAGGAAGGAAGGAAGGAAGGAAGGAAGGAGAGAGAGAGAGAGAGAGAGAGAGAGAGAGAGAGAGAGAGATATGAATAGTTAGGGGTGTAAAGAAAACACATTTTCCTTCCTAATTCTTCCTAATTCAGTGGCTCATAATGTTCAGATAATTTCAGGAGAAATTTCAAAGAATACTTACTGACTTGTACTTCCAAACATGGGAAGCTGTAGAGGACTCATCTCATTTCAAAGAATCTCACTTTTGTTTACAAGATTGATTTGCGAAATTTAGCAAAGTCAACAAATATTCCTTTTCCTCATTCAATATATTTTAAATTCTTCAGGCAAATTCCACATTTGAACAACTTGAGCGCTTGACATTCTTGACTAAAGCATGGAAAGAAATGGGACCTCAACTGTGGAATTTTTTCAATGACGGTGTACAGATGAACATGATCCGAGTGAGTAGATACTTTGCTTAGCCTGGAAAGGCAACTAAAGTACAATAATTCAGCATGGATTATTAAAGTTGAAAAAAAAACTTTTGAGAACAAATGCATCTAAGGATCTATAAACATTGGTCCATGTGCTCTCCAGATTGATCACTTCTCATTAAATGCTCACTGAAAAGATGTAGCAGATTTGTTCTCTGTTATTCTAGAGTAGTGTTTGTCAACCTTGACAACTTTAAGATCGATGGATTTCAAGTGCCAGAATTCCCCAGCCAGCCATGGGGTAGGAGTTGAAAGCCATGCATCTTAAAACTGATTGAGAAACACTGCTGCAGATAACAAGTCTAGAATTTATTGTAGGTTAAAAATTGAAGAGATCAGAAGTCACCTTTGGAAGAAGGATGGATTGTTCCTTCTGCATTCTGGATTGCGAATTCTGGACTAAACAGGAACGTTCTACCTTATTTTCAACTTTCTGCTTCCATGATGCATCCCTGGAATCAAAAGGGGGTTAGTGTAGCCATGGTGTCTTCAATTCAGTTGATATTAGAACTGGAAAGATTAGCAATATTACTAGATTTTGAAATACTTGTTCTCTGTAAACATATTTTAGTAATACAAAGATTCTAAACAGGTGGTTGTATAATAGTTCACTTCACACTCATTCATTTCATGGAAGATTATTTCATATGACCAAGACTTTCCTTCCTGAATATACTGAGTGGAATGAATTGCTGCACTAGTAGAAATTACTAGATTGTTTTGAGGTTGTTGTTTTTTTTGCAATAACTTATGTACCAGTTGGCAAATGGGCAAGTCTATTTTATTTTTTTCCTAAGTTTGAAAATCATTTGATATCCAGGAACCAAGAAAGTCCAAACTGCATGCATGGAAAATCTTCACTAAAAAAAATAATCCAGTACAAGTACCAAGTGAAGGTCTCTCTGTGTGAATATTAATAAAATGCAAATAGTCTTCTTTTTCAGTCTAGGCATTTATCAGGATGTACGGTACCTACCAAATTTCTAGAGTAACCTTCCAAAATTGGGGCTGTCCAATTCTGAATTTGCACTATCTCAGTCAGCAAAAGTAGCTAAGGACAAGATTTCTAACCCACATGGTGAAAAAAGCACCCAGAGAGGTATAAATTAAAATCTAAAATGCTGGTCTTTAAAACAAAAACATGTATTTTTTTCTAAAAGAGCTTCTGTTCTTAATGATTGATTTTTATTGACCATACTTGATAATTTAGAGTTGTTGCAATTCCAGTTCCAGGACCGAAACAAAATTCTATTAATGCCACTTTACTGTTGCCATTCATCTTAATCCATGAAGGGTGGGACTAAGCAAGTAGCCAGCAGGGAGATCTTTACTGCTTCCTTTAGCAATAAATGTGCTACCCTGTGTTTAATTGCTCTGAAACTAGAAGTCCTACTGGGAGGGGAACTGGCTTTGAGGCACAGCATTTAAAGTGGGCAACCAGCAGGTGTGTAAGGGGTCAAACATTTCCCTGGAAATGCCATTTACTCCTGATGTTATGTTTACATAATAAGTAAAATCTGGAAAAGGTGCTATTCATCTTCCAATTAAAAGCAATCAATGCGCTTTCACAGCTGGATTGTGAAATTAAAGCTGATATTTTTTTACCTACAGGACACTTTGCAAAATCCTACTGTGAAAAGTTTCTTAAATGAACAATTTGGTGATGAAGGTCTAACTGTGGAAGATGCTATCAATTTTCTCTATAACGGACCCCCAGAGAAAAGAAAGGATGGTATGAGGAACTTTGATTGGAGGAATATTTTCAGTATGGCCAATCAGACTTTTCATATGGCTTACCAATACCTGGAGGTAGACATTTTTTCTGATTTATTATTCTCAGAGCCTTTATCTGATTGCGGAATGTATAGCAAGTAATTTTTGTCCAGATTCTCTTAAAGTAAACTGCAACTACTAGTTCTGTTACTAGTTACTGCTGTTCAGGTAATCTTCAAAGTATAGCCCTCTCTTATCCAGGCACCACATTTATAGATTTCAGTTCCCAGAATTCCCATTAATGACTCATTCTGGCTGGACAATTCTGGGAATTGAAGTGGAAAATGTTCAGACTGGGGCAAATTATCTTAGATCAGTGTTTTTCAGATTTTAAGATGTGTTGACTTGAGCTCTCCAAACTCCCCAGTCAACATACAATAGAGGATTGTATTAATGCCAATATCTTTATTTATAATTTTAGAGCAGACTGCCTTCATCATGAAAACAATGGTTACAATTGAATAATTAATTTAAAAATGAATATTGAATCAGCGGTTTGCCATTTTTCAGGCATTATGCACTACTTTAATCAAATTCAAGTTGCAGTGGGTTTTTTTCCCTGCCATATGTTTTTCTTTGGAAAAGGTTTTTCCAGGTTTCGAGGCCATATATAAAAAAAGCAATTTAGATCTCCAACCGCACAGGTGGGAGTAAAGAGAAGTAAAGGAGAAGTAAAGAGTTCAGATGACCTCATTACAAATACATCTTGTCTAGGAGCATGGTTTAGATTTAAAAAATATGATGCCCGTGTCATTTGAGTGGGAGGGCTCAGGAAACTGAACTAAATCTTAATTCCAGAATGACTCGCTACCCTGAGAATATCCTCTCATAACATTTTGGAACAGTGCCATTTTATACTTCAGTTGAAGAGGTACAAAATGTGATGAAGGAATCACAATAGTCTTTCAGATAAATATTTACATTTGGCTGTGCTTGGATTTGCAGAGTGATGTTATGTATTTGGCAAAAGGATAGCACAAACATGAACCTTTTGGCTAAGGGCAGGATGATTGCTCATTGAAACAATGGGTCAATTACTTCCCTGGGGCTTGAAAAAGCAGTTGGACAAGCATCAGTGATGACTCGGCATCTTTTGAACTGGGGTCTCTAGGTGAGGCAGACTTCAGATGTCTAATTAGAGAAAAGTGAGCAGTTGTTTGTAAATGGTCAGTTTGGTAATGCTAACACTTGCATTTTATATTATTTTATCAAATATCTCAACTGTACTAGTGGCAATGCACTAGTGTTGAGCCACTGCCTTTTAATACATACATAACACATATGCTGTAAACATGGAATTCTGTACTGTTGAGGAATAATAAAACTCAGATCTTTGGATTTTTATGTATGTATGTATGTATGTATGTATGTATGTATGTATGTATGTATGTATACACACAGACACAAACACAGACACACAGACACCTGTAATAATAAATAATATTCATTTAATTTGAACCTGGATTTTCTACCAAGTGTATATAAAGTCAGTGCTTGAGAGTACTGAATTGACTCCACGGATTTTTTTGGGGGGGGGGGGGGGGGGACAGGAGGAGGCATATTAGCATTAAATGTGTGGTGTAAGAAAAAAACAAGGTAGGTTACCTTGATAATAAAATACTAAAGCTTTCTGGTTTCAGTATCAAGATTAGAACTTTCCCTGTTTTATACCTTTTATATCTTGCTTAGAAAACTTACCTGGAGGATATTTTCGCTACAGAACAAAACCAGCTTAGGGATACATGTTTTTTTCCCCATAAAACAAACCTTCAAGGAATTGAGATAAGCAACCTTTCGCCTTAATTTTCTAGTCTAGTCTACTAAATGCGAAAAGAAAAAGCATCATTTAGTGACAAAATCATGTAAGTTTGACCTTTAGCTCTAATAATTAGATATCTTCAGGTACCTTCAAGACTGTCTTCCACATACAGTAAGTTCAGAAGGTAAGCATAGATGGATTTGGGAATACTGCCTTGCTATGGAATGGGAATGCTAGGGTTGTAAGCTAGACTGGGAAGCTTAAAAAAATCCTAGAAGACAACAATGGTAGAAATCACTTCTATACATCTGAGAAAACTGCAGAGTTGTATCTATGAAGCCAACAGAAAAAGCAAGGTCACCTTAAGGGCATCTTTACTTTTGTTACAGGTAGCGTATTCTTGATTTAAATACATTTCTCTTATTGCATCCATGACAAAAATCATACAGTTCTTACTTGACATGCTATTTAAAATGCCAGAGTTTATTTTGATATATCATCAGCAACCTGATCCTCTTGCAGACCTCCCCTCTTCTCTCTTTTACTAGAATAGATAACAGTTCTTCAGATGACACGGCTAAACAAAGGAGACTTTACATTTCAGAGAAATCTGTCTCTTAAATAACAAGTTGCCTGTGAGGACTTTGATGTACATAATTATTGGTTGTTGGCCTGCAAGAGACCATCAAGCTGATAAGATCAAACAAACTAGCTTTGTGGCATTTAGTGAAGTGAAGTAATTAAATACATTTCTTCCCAGTCAGTTTAGAAACAAAATGTCATCTCCTTACAATAGCTGCCAACATTGAGAATCTGATAAATATTCCTTCATTTTGGAGTTAGGAAGCACAAGATACATACAGATATTTGGTGACTTCATCGTTTCCCCAGTTCCCTGCTCTGGCACTTAGCCTTCTATCTATACCAAAATAGGAATACATTGGAACTTGGTTAAATATTATGTCACTCATGAAGTCTGCTGCCCTAACTTTCAGCAAAGTACATAGTGCTTGTGTCAGGAGACAGATGCTGACAGGAGACTTTGGCCAGGTCTGATAGCAAGGTCGAAGAAGCAGATAGTGTTAAAAGATGGGATCAAAGCAACTTCTGATAAAGTAGTCTTGAGTTACGACCACAATTGGGTCCAACATTTCCATTGCTAAGCAGGACAGTCATTGCATGAGTTTTGTCACATTTTACATCATTCTTGCCACAGTTACACGAATCAGCGCAGTTATTAAGTTAGTAACATGGTTGTTAAGTGAATTTGGCTTCCCCATTGACTTTGCTTGTCAGAAGGTCGCAAAAGGGGATCACATCGCCCTGGGACACTGCAACTATCTTAAATATAAATCAGTTGCCAAGAGTCTGAATTTTGACCATGGGGATGCTACAATGGTTGTAAGTGTGAAAAACAGCCATAATCTTTAGTGCTGTTATAACTTTGAATGGTCATCAAATGAAATGTTGTAAGCTCAATGCAGTTCAGTCCCAATTCTGATTTCCACACATGCATATTTAAATTAATTATGCAATCTCAATCTTCATTTTCATCCATCAATGCCTTTTTATTTCCCATGCCTTTCATGAGTGGCGGGATTTCAGAGTTGAGCAGAATTATTGTCAATTATTCCCACATAGGTTGGAAGATAAAGGAATACAGAATTACAGGTAGTCCTCCACTTACAACAGTTTGTTTAATGATGAAAGTTACAACAGCACAGAAACAAGTGATTCATGACCGTTTTTCACATTTACAACTATTGCAGTATCCCCATGGTCACGTGATTCAAATTCAGATACTTGGTAACTGACTCATATTTATGACAGTTACAGTGTCTCAGGGGTCATGCGATCATCTTTTGCCGCCTTCTTGTATCTTATGAATGTATTTTGTTTTTTCTTTATGTACACTGAGAGCTTATGCACCAAAAACAAATTCTTTGTGGGTCCAATCACACTTGACCAATAAAGAATTCTATTCTATTCTATTCTATTCTATTCTATTCTATTCTATTCTATTCTATTCCATTCCATTCCATTCCATTCCAATAAGCACAGTCAATGGGGAAGACAGATTCATTTAACAACTGTGTTACTAAACAACTACAGTGATACACTTAACAAATGTGGCAAGAAATGTCATAAAATGGGACAAAATTCACTTCACAAATGTCTCACCTAGCAACAAAAAATGTTGGGCTCAGTTGTGGTCATAAGTTGAGGATTACCTGTATACCAATTTCAGTCAGGTAACTTTAATGCTAGTCTAAGGTAAATGAAGAATTTTGAAAGAGGAATTTGCCAATTCTCATTTATGGTGTGCAAATTAAGATATGATCTCTTAAGATAATTGGATTTGACCTTCTTCGTAGGTCAGCTATCTCTTGATTGCTTATGTCTATTCTCTTCCATTCCTTCCTCTTCTTGTTCTGAATTGTTTTAGCTTTTTTTTCCCTATATTTTAAACTTTGTTTTATTGGTCTGTAAACTGTAAACAAAGAAGAAAAAGGGTTTCCCAGTCTGCTCTCACAATTGTGTACCCATTGCTGTGTGTGCAGTGTTCTTTCTCCCTGCTGTTTATGGCCATCACTTTCCCCTCCTTTGAGCTAATTTTGTTTTGCTCTCCCAGGCTTATTTTCCAGGTGATAGGTTCACATTAGCTTTCCACCTACCCACCACCCTCATTTATTGTGATGGTTTCAACTTTGTTTTTCTTTGGGGGTTGTTATCTGGCTGGCGAGACACTTCTTTATTGACTGATCTTCCAGAGACAATTGCTCCATTCAGCCTCTGCACTAAAGGACGGTAGTTATTATAAACCTCAGAAGTGGAATATGCTTATGACAGCTTTTGGTCTCTCCTCTTTCAATTACAATTTTATAATGCATTTTAACCCGAGAATGGGATTAGGGAAGGTCTGAGAAAATAAATCTGATCTATCTCAGCTCTGCTTCTGTTAAGTAAGTCTGGTCTGGCAAGTTTCTACACCATTTGGCTAACTGAAAGAAGCAAACTCACATTTAATACAGAATCTTATCAACTGTATACTGCATTTCAAAATTCAGACAACTGCATAGTTTCTTCTGGAGATGATTGTGTTCCAATTTATATATTAATTCGGGAAGTTATCAAAATAGAATCAACAAATTCTGTGCATCTGTGGATTTAAAGCATTAGAGGTATTAAATGATTTAGCATACATGCTTTGTTTCCCAGCCAAAGTATTAAATATTTTTCCTCTGAATTAATAATTTTCTTGAAAAAAAATCTTTTCACCATACTCTTATTATACAGAAACACTGTACATTTATTTCAAAGCTATAGCAAAGTGAAAAGTTAAAAATAAAGCCTGGAAGAAAGCAATGGCTGTAGCAAATCACTTCTACGTTGTGGTAAAAAAAATGTGGAAGTAGCCATGTCATCATCAACAGTCAAACTGAGCTGGAATGAATTCTTAACTTTCTTATGCCCCTCAACAACTAGAAAGCCTTCCCAGTTATTGTTTTTTTTTTAATTTTACCTTTTTATTGTCCAAAGAAACATTTGAAAGAAATTTGGCAATTATCTACTCCAATCCATGCCCCATGCAAGAATCCATTGCTGTAACAACTATTTCAAAGAGATTTCTTTTTTTCACTTGGTGCCAAGAAGGAACATGGAATAGAAACTCCTGTAGGGGATCAGAGGTTGCTCTGTATAAATACTGTAATGTTTTAACATCATTGTAGAAGGAAACTATGGCAATAAACCTACTGATCATCCCACTAATCAGCGGAATTGATTCTGTTAATTGAATGGATAGACCGGTTATTGTCCGACTCGCTCACTGCTCATGTATATTGGTTCTGAAGCCTTATAGTCAGGGCAAAAGGACAGTCAACCTGGATAGAAAGAATAATAGTTCACCCAGATTATGCAAATTTCAAATTATTTTCATTATATTATACTGATCCGAATGCAAATCTCAGCTTAACACCTCCTATTTTACAAAATCCACCACTTCGGCTTTATTCACATGCATTGTTGATATGTAGACTGATCAATTTTGACCAAAGTTCTGCAGACTTTGGCAGGAACAGGTTTCTCTGTTATTTGTTATTTATTCGTTAAATTTGTACGCTGCCCATTTCTCTACTAAGCAACAGCACAGATTGTCCTTGAATTACAACAGGTCATTTAGTGATCGCTCACAGTTTCAACAGCCCTGAAAAAAGTGACTTATGATCATTTTTCACATGACAGCATCTCCATGGTCATATAGTCAAAATTCAGCCACTTGGCAACTGACTCGTATTTATGACAGTTGCAGTGTCCTGGGGTCACATGATCACCTTTTGCAACCTTCTGACAAGCAAAATCGACGGGAAGCCAGAATTCACTTAACAACTGTGTTACGAACGTAACACAACTGCAGCGATTCACTTTTAACAACTGTGGCAAGAACGGTCGTAAAATGGGTTAAAACTCATTTAGCAACTGCCTTGCTTAGCAACAGAAATGTTGGCCTCAATTGTATATAGACAACTACCAATATTGGTGTCCAAATCATAAATAAATTTTGATTTACATACATGTAGAATGCTACTGTTATCTCATTCAAGTATCTCTTATGTCTCTGTTATCACAGTGCTTGACCCTTGATAAGTTTGAAGGCCTAGCTGATGAAACTGAGTTGATTCTTCGTGCTCGCTCTCTTCTGGAGGAAAACAAATTCTGGGCTGCTGTTGTCTTTCTTGATGTGGATGCAAGGGCCGCTCAACTGCCACCTCACGTGAAATACAAGATACGCATGGATATTGATGCTGTGGAAAAAACAAACAAAATCCAAGATAGGTAAGGACAGCTTCTAATCTTTAGGCATGCAAGCAGAGCCTCATGAGATACCAGTGACTGGAGAGACAAAATAAATCAGAATTGCCAAAAGAAGCTCTCCCCAACAGGGCATCCTGTATATCTGTTGGATGTCCCCAGTCATCAAAGGGGTCTAACGAGAACTGCAATTTATCATATTTACAGGAAAGAAGGCTGGTAAATGTAAATGGATTATATATATAATTATTAACTACAGGCCAAAGTGTAACCTTTAGGTATCTCAAACAATGGTATGCTGGTAAATATAAAATGTTATCATGAGTGCATATACAACCACTTAGAGAGAGAGAATGAGAAAGCACACGTACCATGACAAAGCATAATGCCTTTTTATTAGAACACAAATTCAACCCTATGCCTGGGAGTTACTTGGGAATAAACTTATCTGAACTCTCAGTGCTTCCACCTGACTTTTAAACAATTGAGCTTTAAAGTCCTTGAGCATATAGACATGAAAATTGCTTCTGCGAAAGTTGAGCACAGGATATATTTATAGCCTTTAAGTTGCCACAAGATTCCTCCTGTGTTCCAACAAAAGCTGATCTGATGATTTTATCTGTGAGATTTGATTTATGGTAGCCCCTTTGCTTGTCAGAACACTGATTGATTCTGCGATTATTATGTAAATGATAAAGGAAAATTGCATCTAAACCATTACTTCTAAACTCTTCAGCCCATAAAGTCTAATTGGACTGAATCAAAGATGATAGCACTTGGCTGTTTTTGTCAAAAGCTAAACTGATAAAGATTCTGATGGAAGGCCATTGGGAAATCGCTGGATGGTCGACAAAACTGGAAAGTTGAAAAAAACATTATTTATTTCTTTATTTGGTTTGTCAATTGCTTACAAGATAATAGGTATAAGTAAAAACATAGTTATGAATACATGGATACATATAAGAAAAATAAAAAAAAATAAAGGAAACAGTAGGACAGGGACGGTAGGCATGTTGGTACGCTTATGCACGCCCCCTACAGACCTCTTAGGAAAGGGGTGAGGTCAATAGTAGACAGTCTAAGGTTAAAGTTTTTGGGGTTTGGGGAAGGAACCACAGAGTCAAGTAGAATATTTCAGACATAGACTACTCTGTTGCTGAAGTCGTACTTCCTGCAATCAAGTTTGGTACGATTAACCTTGAGCTTATATCTATTGTTTACTCTTGTGTTGTTGTGGTTGAAGCTGAAGTATTCATTGACAGGTAGGACATTGCAATGTATGATTTTATATACTATACTTAGATCGGACCGAAGGCGGCGTAGTTCTAGGTTTTCTAGGTCTAGAATTTCAAGTCTGGTGCATAAGGTATTCTGCAACAAGTAAGAGGAGTGGAGAACTCTTCTTGTGAAATATTTCTGGACTTTCTCAACTGTGTTAATATCAGATACGTAATGTGGGTTCCAGACTGATGAGCTGTATTCGGGTCTTGGTCTCGCAAATGTTTTGTATGCTCTAGTTATTAGTGTGATATTACCAGAGAAAAAGCTACGTAAGATTAGGTTAACAACTCTTAACGCTTTTTTGGCTATGTAGTTACAGTGGGCTCTAGCATTTAGATCATTATAGATGAGTACTCCAAGATCCTTGACAGAGTTTGGATCATCAACAAGGTCTTGACTATTCAGCCTGTATTTTATTTTCTGATTTTTTTTGCCAATATGTAAGACAGAGCATTTATTTGTTGAGATTTGAAGTTGCCATTTGTTTGACCATTCTGATACATAGTTGAGGTCTTTTTGAAGGGTAGCAGTATTGTCTGTGGTGTTGAATAGCTTTACATCATCAGCGAAGAGAACGCAGTTGCTCTTGATATGATCACAGAGGTCATTTATGTAGAGTATGAAGAGAGCTGGTCCTAGAACACTGCCTTGGGGGACATCACTGTTGACAGGTACAGAATTTGATAGAGCGCTCCCAATTTTGACCATTTGTTGTCTGTTTGACAGGAATGCTTCTATCCAGTTATGCAGGTGTCCAGAGATACCGTAAGATACCGTAACATTCAACCTACAAGAAGTGGATTACAACTCCATTAATCTGACAGTTTTTTCTTAAGGGCATGCTTTTTTCTATCACAGGCAACCAATGTGACAGAATTTGGATCTGGTTTTTAAACCAATTCTACCTTGAATCAGTCTGTTCTAACAGGAAACCCAGGATATCAGTTAGATGTTCAGAAAGCTTTTTCATGCCTGTCTTTTGTCTTGCAAACACAGTGTGCAAAAACTAGGACTGCAGTCCAAGAAAATGGTTGGAATTTTTTGGTTCTCCCACAACATCACAACCAGGATTGGGCCACTCTTGGCTTTTGTGAAAGGAAGAAAAGATACTGCAGATGAGAGGCAACCAAACCATTAACATAGCATATAGTTTGTCCCTCAGAGTCTGATAACTGATACTTTCACCCTATCACAATCCCCACTAGTCTGAAGGCTAAATCTGTGCTTTGTAACTACAGGTACTGGGATCCTGGCCCAAGAGCTGACCCAGTGGATGATCTGCACTACATCTGGGGAGGGTTTGCTTATCTGCAAGATATGATTGAGCAAGGGATCATCAAAACCCAGACCCATGTTGATGTGCCTTCAGGGATATACCTGCAACAAATGCCCTATCCCTGCTTTGTAGATGATGTGTGAGTATGATCTGTGTCCAATAACTAACTGTGTGGCTAGCACTAGACACACAGCACTCTTACAAATGACACTGTTTCTGCTTTTGATCATGCTAGAGATTTTAGAACATGAAGCATTAGACAAATTCCCTGCCAAGGAAACAGGATTGTGTTAGTTAAATCTGAAATAAGAAATCTAGAACAAATAAATTATCATAACAATCTAACTACTTAAAATAGAAAGCAACAGGAAGGCTTTTGGTTTAATACCACCTTTACTGCAAAAAATAAGTATTAATTCGTTAGCAAGGAGAGAATGGAGGAAAAGTTGCAAACTTATAGCTGTTTTTCTGAACTCTTTTAATCAGGGAAAGTATTCAGTTCATTTTAAAAAATGAAAAAAAGAATATAGGTGTGTTGAAAGACTTGTCACTCTCTGCCACAACATTAGAATGCAGGATCATTCAATGATGTTGAATATTGCAAGGTTCAGGTCAGGCTAGAACAAACAAACAAAGAAGTTGTTTTTCATGCAATACATATTTATGCCATGATGCTAGTGATTATTCTCTCTTCTAATAAAAGTGGATAATTTTTCAGTACCAATTCTCTGGATGTGAGCAAGTTAATATTTTAAATGTAAAGTCCATTTATCTTCAGGGGAATAATAGAAATCATCATCATCACCACCAGTCAGTTGCAAAAGGAAACTTTACTTGGAATAGCTTACATCATGTAATGATACCTTTAATAACATCAAGCAACATCATCTGCCTATCCTTGATAAGGGCTTCATAGGTGAATAAAATGCCAACTCCAGTCTCAATAGCTGGTTGACTGTGCAATGAACCATACAAATAAGATTTTTATCCCTCCTCAATGCAAGGTGGAAAACCTACCTAATACCATTACCTGCTATTTTTCCCGCAACAACAACCCTGTGGGATGGGTTGGGCTGGAGAGAGTGAATGAGCCAAAGTCATCCAGGGGTTTCATGTCTAAGGGAGGCCTAGAACTCACCATATCTGGTTTCTAACCAACACCTTCACCATTACACCAAACTGACTCTTTCATTAAAAGGTAACCAAGGCCATTATTAAAATACTGCTCTTTTCCGGCACACCTCTTATTACCAGTAACTTGTTAAAAACTAGTGCTCCAAAACAACTAATCCTTTACTCTGTTTCTGGCTAACATTTGGGATATGATGAAAATAGTTAATTTATTTTTATTTATTTTTAGTTCATTTGATTTGTCAATTGCTTACAAGATAATAGGTATAAGTATAAACATAGTTATGAATACAACATACATATAAGAAAAATAAAAGAAACAATAGGACAGGAACGGTAGGCACGTTGGTGCGCTTATGCACACCCCCTACAGACTTCTTAGGAAAGGAGTGAGGTCAATAGTAGACAGTCTAAGGTTAAAGTTTTTGGGGTTTGGGGAAGAAACCACAGAATCAGATAGAGTATTCCAGACATTGACCACTCTGTTGCTGAAGTCGTATTTCCTGCAATCAAGTTTCGTGTGATTAACCTTGAGCTTGTATCTATTATTTACTCTTGTATTGTTGTGGTTGAAGCTGAAGTATTCATTGACAGGTAGGACATTGCAATGTATGATTTTATATACCATACTTAGATTGGACTGAAGGCAGCGTAGTTCTAGGTCTTCTAGGTCTAGAATTTCAAGTCTGGTGGCATAAGGTATTCTGCAACGAGTAGAGGAGAACTCTTCTTGTGAAGCATTTCTGGACTTTCTCTACTGTGTTAATATCAGATACATAATGTGGGTTTTTCAACTTTGTTCAATTTGTTCAAGGCTTTTCTCTACATCCCAATGTAGTGGAATGCAGTACAGGCCGTGGGGCTTTACAAATCCCCTTTGCAAACCAGTGAGGCAGAGTCTGATGTTTTTCAATTTTTGGCCAGCGTATTTCAACACAGGAAATAAGACAGCCTTACCCAACCCACAGAATGTGTAGAAATGATAGAATCACCCATTAAGGATAGAATCACTCATTAAGTTTGGTTAATAGCTGTGAGGCTATATAGTTCTACTATATCTCGGGCAACAAAACTGAGGTGTTAAGAGTGAAGCCAAGGGAATTTAAATCTCACCTCAGAGATTGCCTCTGTGAAAATACAGGATGGCTTTATGTTGCCCTGTATTTATTTTTTTCTTGTACTGCATTGAATATTATCCTGAAGAATGTTGCTCTAAATATTAAGAAATACAAAGAAATAAATAATGTGAATAGGGGTCTTACAACATTTGCAGTGTTTCATATGGCTTCTTCAAATTTCCAAACAATAAGCCGTCCTGAGAATAGAATTTTATCAGGTTCAAGGGGTAAAAACTCAGGCAGAGGTCTGGTTCTCTCTTCCCAAGGCATCACATTCCTTTGATTTGTCATCAATCATCATCCTCAGGTCACTTCTCTACATGCCAAGAAGAGATCTCAAAGTTGTTTTAATTGGTTTTGCTCCATGCTAATACAGTAATGCCAAAATTCTTACATGAAAATGAGAAATATATAGCAAAAGCTTCACAGGGGGAAGTGGTTAAGGCAATGAATTAGGACTGTGAAACTCCGGAGTCCATCCCTAGCCATGGAAACTCACTGGGTGACCTGGGACTAACCTACTTCACAGGGTTTCTGTTGTAAATTCTCATATTAAGACTCTCATATATTTCAGAGTATATGTGGTAGTATAATTGGATCAGTAGCTAAAATAATTCAACACAACTTGACTTTTTGCTGTGCTGAAGAATCCCCCTCATTCCATAGTTAGACACAATATAAAACAGCTTTAATATAAAGATGAGGAAAAGGAGGATTCTAGATGCTATTCTTAAAAGTTGACTTACCAGCATGGTGAACAGAAATCTTCAGGTTGTCATTCCGCTTCCCTTCCAGATTGGGATTACGGTTCCCAAAATTCCAGCCAGAATAGGAAGGTACGTTAAAGAAAGCTGCATGATCGGGCAAGACCTATTTTCATGTGACATATTTCCCAATTATTTTGGAATAAGGTTTTATACATTAAGACCACGATGTGAAAGCCTGCTTTGATTTATGAGACACATCATCTAATTGGCGGTTTCATAGTTTGACAAGTCCTTCCCTCACTTTATGAAATTTGGCTTCACATTGTTTAAAAGGCATTTCTGAAGCAATAACCCTAGCTCCATTCCCAGGAATCTCTCTGGAAAGAAGCCCCACTAAGCTCAATGGGATTTGCTCAGTGGAGTCCAGATACAGCTGTAGCAACAGTTCCAGAACAAATGTCACCAGAGCACCATTTTGTTGCAAAATAAATTCCTTCTCTGCCAGGAATTACATGACTTTGATTTATTTTCCAGAATACCCCATTTCTTAGTGATCTGACTTAACAGCTAAGGTGTTCCCTTTGTCTCTCTCTGCTTAATGCTATCCTTGCTATGATCTTATCTTTAGCTCTGAATACAATGTTGCCCCATAGCTTCCTCCCAGGATAGCCAAAATAGAGATAATCCAATAAACACATGATGTGATTTATTTTTGTCTCTCTTCAATTGCTACCCCCTCCATATGGTGAATTGATTATATATCAGCATAGAGGCCCGGTGGCCAAGCAGGGGGCAGAAGGAGGTTGTATCCTTTGAGAAAAGCATAGGACTCTGATAGTAAGGCCTGGTTAGGTCACAGAATCAGAACATGAATGTGAGTAATGAAAAACATGTCTCTTAGGAGTTCCACAACAGGGACATTGTTTTGTTTTTGCAAAAGGCACTTTTTCCCCCAACTGCACGGGTGGCTCTTTTGGCCTTCCTCAAAAATGGTGCCTCCCTCAAACCAAGCTCAATTTTTGGGGACTACTGGGATGTGTCCATGATGTTTCCTTTCAACAAAACAAGTGCCTTGGTTTTTGCTTTTTTGTTGTTGTTTTTCAGGATTTTTTTTTCTTTTTCAGTCTAGCATGCAGCTAAGATGTTCTGGTGCAGTGTTTTGCAAACTTGGCAATTTTGAGATGTGTAGCCGAGGAGTCTCACACGTCTTTTTCCAAGTTCAAGAAACACCATACTGGTGGCCTCTCACCAGTTCAGATTGCTTTCTCCTGTGTCAGCCTCTTTAGAAGAGTTTAAAATTGGCTCCCCCAAATGTTTGCCTGAGCCCTTGAAATCCTAAAATTTGCAACACTTTTGTTGCCTCTGCTAAGAAGAAATATTTTAAATTAAAAACGACTAGAAATAGATGCAGTACATGCATCCAAACACATAGCCCACTGTTCAGGAAGCCCTATTGCCATATCCCCACACTGACTTGAAATTCTAGAACTTGTAAGCCAATACATCTGGACAGAAACCATCTGAGGAAGGCTTTAATAATATTTGGGTGCTCTTTCTTAGATCTTTCTATCAGGAAATAGCAATTTAACTCTCCAAAAAATTCAGGGGTGCCTTATTTAGACAGGACTCTCATGAGTTTTTTTTTTTTATCCATTTCCCAGCTGTTCTCAAACTACCAATCTGAGCCTTCCAGGAGAGGAAGATACCAGTAAAAGTAACTTAACTCTTAAGATATTCCTCAGTTACCTTTCAAAGCAAGGTTGTTTCTTTTCCTTTTTATTCCCCCTCCTTGCCTGGCAGCTTCACGATTACTTTGACTCGTGCCTTTCCCCTCTTAATGGTGCTGGCTTGGATCTACTCCGCTTCCATGACGGTGAAAAGCATCGTGTTGGAGAAAGAAATGAGGCTGAAGGAGGCCCTGAAGAACAGAGGAGTCACCAACGGGGTGATTTGGTTCACGTGGTTTTTGGACAGTTTCCTCATGATGACCGTGAGCACGTTTCTCCTGACGGCGCTCATTACGGTAAGGGAGCAGGAGAGGGGCGTCTTTTGCTGTGGTCAACTCGAGGTCCAGGGTTTGCAATGCTTTACTTTCGCGCGATCCAGGTGTTAGTAAGAAACAGTAAAAGCCATACATAAAAATGGGAGGGAGCCTGCTAGTGGCCTGGCCTCTTCTCGGCACGTAGCAGCAGGCGCGCTTTTTAGAAGCCCCCTTAAGGCATTATCATCATCGTCATCACCTGGCAGGGACAGATACGTTCAGGGACGCGTTTGCCTTTGTGACATTTGGATTAAGGCCGACAGGTCACGTTCTAAACATCGCCTTCAGGTGGAGGAGGGCTTGAAAGGGAGGCGTCTCTCCTCCTCCAGCCGCCTTTGGAAAGCCTGTCGTTTTCCTTTCAAACTCATTTCTCCCAACCCATTAGTTGCTTCATTTCGATACAATACAATACTGAGTATACAACAGAAGGGGCACAAAGGCTTATCATTTAAATAATCCTTCAGTAGGGAGACTCTGGGTTTATGTTTAAACTGCCCCATTCGCGACAGATTCATAACGATGCCTCAAGATATAGTCGTTTGTTCGTTTATTTAAGGAGTTAATGGGAATTGTGGACTGTAGGTTCAACACCTCTGGGAGATATCAGATGGGTGACAGTTACCTTAAATTCTTACATTGTTTTTTCTGCTTCCTCCTATCATTAATGGTAAGCACCCAAAACTCCGTGGGTTGCTTTGAGATCTGCCCTGTTTAAAGATAAGGATAAAAAGAAATCCTGAAGGCCTGAGGCTTAAAATACATCTAGAGGATAAATATATTTAAACAGTGTTGTGGAAGAGGGCCAGAGTTCCTAAGAATCTTTGCTGTTTAATTTCCTTGTATTAGTACTTCAATTAAAGTGCAATAACAGTATCTATTCCCATTCCATGTATAGTAATGCTGGTTTTGAACGTACAGTATGTTTGATGTCAGTGTAGTATAGAGTAATTTTTTGACAGCCGGTTTTTTAGTAGTTTGTCCATTTGGGAGACAAAAGGAGGAATAGCAGTCAGAATCTGCTCTGGTTTTTCAATATTGTTTGGATTTTAAACCATTCACTTCCAGGTAGACAATCCCCATTTGAATTTGTAATTAATATTGTAATATTAAGTAAAGCTGCATTTCAGATATGTGTGAATAAGAGGAAGCAGCAGCAAAACTAAGGACCGATAGCTTCATGCTAAGCCATCACAGTGGCTGAGTTTGAAATATCAGCCCAGCCAAAACTCCCAGCAAGTCACACTCCTGCTTGTCTATGAATAAATCAATAAAATCCAATAGTTGCAGAAAATAATAAAACAAAAACATTTCATATAAAACCCTTAAACAACATTTGTGCCCCGATCAAATTACAGTGATAAAAGCTCTAGATTTTACAAATATATATTTATTTATAGTAGTTCTATACCAGGCCGGTCAAACTGGTGGCCCTTTGTGCCGGATGTGACATGCGCAGGCCACGCCCACCCCAGCTCCGCAAAGGCAACATCACGATATATCACGATATGTCACATGAAACAATTGGGTTTGACACCTGTGTTCTATACCATTAGTTCCTTCAAGGATTTCTGTTCACTTGGAAAAATCTCAACATAAAAGATAAAACCCGTGAAGCATAAAACATAAGCATGCTCAAACCTGGCATTCAATAAGCAGTCCTCAAAACATAAAAGCTGTGAATAACTCATTCTTAACCATCATCCAGAAAACTGTTAGGAAGGATGTCATTCACATTCTCAGAGGTAAGCTGTGTTACACAATACAGGCATAAATAAGACAGGACGCTTTAGCCCTCCCCTAACCTTAGAATGATTGAACGATAGACAAGACCTATTTTTTTTTAATCTAAAGAAGATAGTCTTGAAGATACCTGGAACACCAGGTGAGAAAAGGTTTTATAGGTTAAAACCAGCACTTTTATAGTCAGCAGTCAAATAAAAGCCAAATTAGCATGCACAAAATTGATGTTAAGTGGCAGAGATTACTATTGTCTTCTATCCCATTTGGGTGGTCTTCAAAGGCAGCTCCATCTACTGCAAGCTGCAGTAACTTGGTCTGAAAGGTGATGGTTTGGGTAACCATTGCGAGGGTAATATGCTCTTTCAAGTCAGTGGGCATCAAAGAGGCATTGACTGTCTTCCAAATCTGTGCTCTCACACACAAACTTCATTTCCTGAAGCAGCCAAGTGCAGCATGATTGCAACACACATGGCATGTTCATCCCACAGATCACTCAGCCTATTTCCTCAGTGACCAGAAGTCAAAATAAATGCAGATAATAATGCACAATGCTATCAGAGTAATCTTTAATGGCTTGGCCCCTGTGGCATCCAGGCCAGAGTACGCTTTCATTCTCAAAACTACCATCCCCAAAACTCACTGCAACTCTTCAGAAGATCTTTCTGCAGCTTGCATTCCAAAGAGAGTACAGGTAGTCCTTGACCTGCCACAGTTCGCTTAGTGACCTTTGAAGTTACAACGGCACTGAAAAAAGTGAGTTAATGACCGTTTTTCACACGTAAGACCGCTGCAGCAGCATCATGGTCATGTGATTTACATTTGAATACTTGACAAGTAGCTCCTATTTATGACAGTTGCAGTATCCAGGGGTCATGTGGTCTCCTTCTGAGACCTTCTGACAAGCAAAGTCAATGGGGACGCCAGATTCACTTAACAACCATGTTACTAATTCCACAACTGCAGAGATTCACTTAACAAAAATGGCAAGAAAAGCCGTAAAATTAGGCAAAACTCACTGAACAAATTTCTCATTTAACAACATAAATTTTGGCTCAATTGTGGTCATCAGTTGAGGACTGCCTGTAGTTCACTCTAAAATAGGCCTGCTGGGATGCAATTAACAGATTAATAGAGTTGGAAGGGAACCTTGTAAGTCATCAAGTCCAACCCCCAAGCAGGAGACCCTACACCCGTGATGGCGAACCTATGGCACGCGTGCCAGGAGTGGCACGCAGAGCCACTTCTGCCGGCACGCGAGAGGTCACCCAGAAGAGCCCCACTGTGCATGTGCGTGTGCTGCCCGCCCACCAACTGATTGTCAGATATCTGGCGCGCATGCACAGGGGGCGGGGGTGCATGGGAGCCGCGTGCGCACACACAGAGATGCGTGGGGTGCACGGTGGGGTCTCACATGCATGCACAGAGACACATAGCACATGGGGGATTGTGCGTGCATGTGCAGGGGGCGTGGGGGCCCTCACAAATTGCCTTCTGGGTACTGGCACGCGAGCGAGCATGCACACAATCTTCGGCACGGGAGCTGAAAAGGGTTAGCCACCACTACCCTACACCATTTCTGATAAATGACAGTCCAATCTCTTCTTGAAAGCCTCCAGTGATGAAGCTCCCACAACTTCTGAAGGCAAGCTGTTCCATTGGTTGATCATTCTCATTTTGTCACCCTAATCACCACACTGTAAGTTGAAACATGACCCTAAGAAACTCAGGAATGGATCCTTCTTGTAGCAGTGTGCAGGATTCCTAAGTCTCTATAGGCCAATATCTACCCAAAGCAGAATTCATGTACACTGCTAGATTATTCCAGACACTCATTGCTATCCTGTCTTCCATATACTGTATGAAGTTGTATGTTCTGCTATGACAAATAATCAGTATAGGACAGTGGTGGCTAACCTTTTCGGCACCGAGTGCCAAAGTGGGAGCACACACACGTGTGTGCACACCAGAAACCAGAAGAGCAGCTTGCTGAAGTGCATGGGAGCGCCAGAAACCAGAAGACTGTTCTTAATATTCCTTCTTTCAATTCATTTTTGGCTGGGTATATAAGACTTTCGAAGTCATCTTATGGTGTATGTCTTAGCAAGTTGTGGAAATCCAGCCAACAACGGTTTAATCAGTTTATTCCACACTGTGATTAATTGAATGTTGACTTAGCATTTCGTGTGAACGCAACTCTCTGAAAACAGAACATTCAGAAAATCCATTTGATGATATAGCCCACTTTTTTGATACTGGATTAGAACAGAGTTCATCTACTCAGAAGCATGGTGATTTTAGGATCAATCACTGTCTTTCACCCAACATGCCTTACAGAGTTCCAAAGGTGCTTTTTCAGGAGGCAACTGGACTTTCTTGGTGTTTTTTTTCCTTTGAAGATGTTTTGCTTTTCATCCAAGAAGCTTCTTCAGCTCTGACTAGGATAGTGGGGAATGGAAGGATTTATATTCCTTGCAGACAGCTGGTCATTTGCATCCTCTTAGAAGGTCCTTCCTTCTAAAAGGATGCAAATGACCAGCTCTTTGCAAGGAATATAAATCCTTCCATTTATAGCACTTGGATACGTGCTTCAATGACCTTCTAAAAGGATGCAAATGATCAGCTCTCTGCAAGGAATATAAATCCTTCCATTCCCCACTATCCTGTCAGAGCTGAAGAAGCTTCTTAGATATGAAGTGAAACATCTTCAAAAGAAAAAAAAAACAAGAGAGTCCAGTTGCCTCCTGAAAGAGCACATTTGGGACAACCATGACCTAGATGACTGAGAATTTCTACAGACTTTTATGGAGAATTTCTACAGACTTTTATGGAGAAATTAGAGTACATGTTGAGGTAATTCCCCGTTAGGAGAATGAGCGCAAAAAGGGAGACGTATTTGAGAGAAGTGTTTGAATAATACACACACAGTACACAGATACACTGTACAGTAAATGTAGGTTTTTACTTCAAGAAAGGTTTAAGCAAAGTCCAAAATAAGCAGTCCAAAGTCATTCACAGGTAAAATCAGTCAATCCAAATATCAAAGTACAGTGTCAAAAAACAGTTCAGTAACAGACTTACATTAAATCCAGTAATATCAGTCAATTAGGAAAAATGGAGGAACGGCAATACTTTCCAACAGAAGGAAACAGAGATACTCACTCAGACACACTCTCTTCTGAGACTAAGACTGAGACAAACCAGGTTTCTGGCTCCATCTTATGGCCGTTTGAGAAACCACACCTAATTGCAGTTTTTAGCATTTTCTTAAAGATACAGTTTTAAAATGTTTATCCTGGTTTATATATTTCTAACCCAAATAGCTGTTAGGTGACTTATATTCCTAACAGTACACCATCATGAGCTCTTGAAGGAAGTTCAATCATTAAGTCACAATAGCGTTAATACCAAATGTGAATGTACCAGTACCTTAAACTGAAGACCCTTGATCTCAGATGGGTCCTAAGTCAAGCAGTAGAAGAATATTTTCCTTTCCTTTCCTTTCCAGTATGGAAAAGTGCTTCGGTACTGCAACCCCCACGTTCTCTTTCTGTTCCTGTTAACCTTCGCAACAGCCAGCATCATGCAGTGTTTTTTGCTCAGCACCTTTTTCTCCAAGGCTAATCTGGCAGCTGCCTGCAGTGGAGTCATCTATTTTACTCTCTACCTGCCCCATATCCTCTGCTTCGTTTGGCAGGATTGGCTGCCTCTTAAGATCAAGATCATGGTGGTAAGGATTTCTTTTCTCTCGCTAGGGCCTGTTCCAAATGGATTTGGTTTACGAGTAATAAACCAGTGAAATAAATTTTCACTGCTAAGCGATGCAGTTGTAAAAAGCAATGCCATGTGACCATGGTGTGATCATAAAGTACAACATCAATTGCCTAGTGACAGCAATTTTGGCAGTCGCAATTGCTGTTTGTAACCTGAGGATCTCATATGATTGTGACTTCCAACTGCCTGCTGTCTTCCCTATTGATTTTCTTGTGGAAAGTTGACAGGGAACTTTAGAAATCACAGCTGTGATCATGGCTTGCTGTGATGTTATAATTGTGACCTAGGTGCCAAGTGCCTAGATTGTAATCATGTGATCGTGGAGATGTTTCAATGGCTGAAACTCTTAAGGACTGGTTGTAAGTACTAGTTGTTCAACATTTCTTTCTTTCTTCCAGAGTTTCCTTTCACCTGTGGCTTTTGGGTTTGGTACAGAATACTTGTCACGCTATGAAGAACAAGGACTTGGATTACAGTGGAATAATATCCAAAGTAGCCCACTGGAAGGAGATAAATACAGTTTCTTGTTGTCTATGGAGATAATGGTTTTTGACGGTTTTGTCTATGGATTGCTTGCTTGGTACTTGGATAATGTCTTCCCAGGTATGACCAACAATGTAGTCTATTGTGGCATAGATTTTTTTTTTCTGCTTAAGGGTGAAAACCTATCTCTGCTGCTTTAATACAACTGAGAACCAACACGGCTAAATATCTCAGGTCTCAGAATTTGTCTAATCAGATACAATGAAGGTAATCAAGTTGCCAGGTGGCAATATAAATTGAATAAATAAATAAATAAATAAATAAATAAATGCAAAGTTATTCAATAGCAGGGGTGTCAAACTCATGTCGCCACAGTGGCATCATGTGACATATTGGACTCCCCCCCCCCTTTGCTAAAACAGGCATGGGCATGGCCAGCACGTGATGCACTCAGCCTGTGGGCCAGGAGTTTGACAGCCCTATTCAATGGGCTTCTCCTTATTTTCCTTCTCTCCTCTAGTCAGATTCTCGCTCTCAGATTCTGTCCGGAATGTTTCCTAACATGGTTATTTTCAGTAGGGTTCTCTAGAAGGGCTAAATATGTAGAATCATACAGATATGATAGTTCACATTTTCAAATGTTAAATTATTCTGACATTTCAGGTATAGTCAAAGCCTTAAATCCTAACTTCTCTTCATGGAAAAAGGTTTGCCTGCCTTTCATTTTAAATGCAGGGTTTTGTTTTTTTCCCCTTTTGTGAAAAGCTGCTTCAGGGAACTGAAGACCCTTGAGAACAATATAGGATATGGCATTGAAGACTGTAACAGGAAGTGGGATCCTGTCCTCCTCTCCCCCCCCTCCCCTAATGGAAATGACATCTTTGAATCCAAACTATTATCCTTTTACTATATCTTGGGATAAAAGATCTGTGTAATACACTTACAGTTAAGATACGAATGGAAATGTTTACAGTCTATTGGCAAATGCCAGAGTTTAAACTTTGTGTTAGCAACAAGCAATTCATCAATATTTTTTATAACATTATATTCCAAAATATCTTGGCCTCTGATGTTATGGTAAAGCCTTATCTAATCTCCTGTCCTCTGTATGTATTGGATTATAATTTCCACTAATTTTAGGCAGCATGGACAATCCATTACATGGGGGAAAGTTGTAATACAATGGCCTTTAAGCCATTTGACAAAACACATGGGCTTAGAAGTGCAAGGCTTCCATTTGTACACTGCCCAATTAGGCAAAGGTTTCATTATCTTGTCTTCCACAAGATGAAAAATCTTTCAAAATAGATTCACAATCTTTTGTGTAATGAATCTTATTTCTCTTTTACGGTAGATGCTGACAAAAACAGAATAATCTCCTGGTACATTTTGTGGGTTTGACTGGCACTTTCTATTTAAAGAATCTATGTAAACCTCGCAGTAGACTTTTTTAAACCATTGAGGCATTGACAATTAAAGTTCAGTTGGCAAGCTACCACCTCTCAAAAAGAGGATTATAGTATAACGTAGGAGATTCCTTACAACATTAATACAGAAATATACCAGAGGAACAAGGACTGGCCCAAAAAGAGTGGCGGCTAGACAGTTTGAAGCCCCTATGGGAAGTAATGAGGTCCTTTTGAGGTGTGGTTGTGGATATCTTCTTATAACTATTCTTTTCATGTTGTGCAAAAGAGCATATAAGTCGCTGCAGGGATCACTCTTATATTAGTCAATATACATTTATTTTATTTACAAATTCAACCTGTATCTTGTCTTTTTATTTAAGTGAATGCTTAAAGATGTCTCTTTGAAGAACAGAAACTTGGATTTCCCCATAGTTAAAGAAACTTGTCTGGTCACATATTATAGGAATTGAAGAGCCAAAACAAAGACCCACAAAAGATCTTATCTGTAGAATGAAAGCTCACACTTTACCATTCACTTTCAGCTTAGGCAGTTTTCCAAAACCAGCACTGGGTGGTTTCTGAATCACAAGTAAAAAGGGGGAAAAAAGTGTTTTAAAAAAACCTGCAGTCTGTCACAGCTCAAGAAACTCTTGTTTGTCTTTGTGGAAGAAGCAGCAAGAGGCTTTCTTTTGCTTCAAAGAACAGGAAAGAGAACATTCTTCTGTAGAGATATTGATGAAGGTCACCATTTCCAGATATAAGCTTCAGTAAGTTACTTTCCCGAAAGGAGAGGTGGCTCAAGTTTCATGGGCCCCTGAATTAAAATTGGAAGTTGGAAAAGTTTCTCTATCCAAATTCCCCACATTTCGTGTCAGGTCCTCTAAACTCCAAATAACTTCCTTCCTTAGCAAAAAGAAGAAAAATAATTGAGATGTATTAAAATTAATACATTAGTTTATTTTCCCTTAAAGTATCCAAGATGTTTTGTCACAAATAACATGTCTACCCCATGGAATCTGTTCCAATTAAAGCACTCTCCCCAGCTGACTTGTCCAAGTATATCTTACTGATCCAGCCACCTGATATTATTAGTGCAGGTAATCATTAACTTACAACAGTTTGTTTAGTGACAGTTTGAAGTTACCACACTGAAAAAAAGTGACTTATGACCATTTTTCACACTTAAAACCATGGCTGCATGGTCACATGATCAAAATTCAGGCATTTGGCAAGTGAATCATGATGGTTGCAGTGTCCTGAGGTCATGTGATCTCCTTTTGCAACCTTCTGACAAGTAAGTCAATGGAGAAGGCAGATTCACTTAAGAGTCATGTTACTAACTTAACTGTGGTGATTCACATAATTGTGGCAAGAAAGGTCGTAAAAGGGGCCAAAATTAGCAACAGAAATCAGCAACAGAAATGTTGGGCTCCATTGTGGTCATAAGATAAGGACTACCTGTATTGGCTGAAGAATTACAAATTCATGACATCTAAAAGACATCAGGAGGCAAAAACTAATAATGTGAACTGGGAAGTCCTTATTCCAAAGTTTGCCTTAGGGTTTCTGGCATTTAGATCCTATTTAGTAAAGATTGCGTAGCTCTAATTTTTAATTAGAGCATACATTTCAGAAATAAATATAATCTTGAACCACATTTAAATGCATTTATTCTTATGGGGAAAAAAACCACCCCTCAGGGACTACAATTGATCTTGGGTTCTGTGGTGGTTGGGAATGCTTTTTGAAACTTGTAATGTGAACACTGTTTGATGATAATGACACATCCAATAATTGTTTAATGGTATGATTTGCATTGCTGTGTTCTCCCTATAGCAAAATGCAAAACAAAGGTTCTTGCATCCGACCAACCTGTTTTTATTTCAGGAGACTATGGAATTCCTCGGTCTTGGAATTTCCCTTTGCAGCGATCTTATTGGTTTGGGTTAGGACACCCAAAGACTGAGAAAACAACAACTGCCTATGGTGAGTTATGCAGAAAACTGATGTTCGGAAATATTTTGAGCCATTGACTCATTAAGAAGTAAATGCACACTTGCCTGCATTTTTGGGAGTCCTAACAAAGTTTACACTCAGACACGTAGTGGGAATATTTGCAGGTGACTTTGAACTCTTGAGTGGCCAGCTATTCTTAGCGTTGTTGCCAGGGGTGGGATTCAATTTTTTTAACAACCGGTTCTGTGGGCGTGGCTTAGTTGGTGGGTGTGGCTTGCTGGTCATGTGACTGGGTGGGCGTGGCCAACTCGACGTCGCTCACATCAAGGGGCGCTTCTCCTCACCTGGCCTCTCATGACAGTGGGGATGCTGCAACGGTCGTAAGTGTGAAAAAGTCATATCACTTTTTTCAGTGCCATTGTAACTTTGAATGGTCACCAATTTTAGACCAAAACTCAAAAAGGGTGTGTAAACTCACATTTGAATGTCAATCTAGCTAGCTAGCCAAGAAGCCTTGCTGAATGTCCCTCATCTTGGTTCCTTGTCATTAAAAGCTGCTTTCTGGCAGCTCTGCTTCATTATTCAATTATTTCTTCAAAGTGCTAACTCCAACAGGGGAGTATTTCCTCCCAACAGCAGTGTAAAAAGCTTAAAACAACCCTTCCCCTTTAAGAAAGTACCAACAAAGAAAAAAAAAAACCTCATTTGGAGATAGTAAGTCTAGACATACTACCAAGAATGCAAGAAGGGTGGAAAAAACAAAAGATTTCTTCCAACAACCAGTTCTCTGAACTGCTTAGAAAGTTAACAACCAGTTCTAGCGAATAGGTGAGAACCTGTAGAATCCCACCCCTGGTTGTTGCTGGATAATGTGTCAGTCTTCTATCTCAAAGTTTTCTGAATTCAGCTGAAATAAACAAGGAGCCTGCAAATCTTGCTTTTCCTTTCAATTTGTCTGGAAATAGTTGACAATTATGGACTATTGTGACAAGTGCTGAATTAGTGAACGTGATGTTGGCAGTTCATGTCTTGGCATCAAGCCTAGTAATTGAAAAATATCATGTTCATTATGAGCTATATGGCAATTTTTAAAATCTATTTTTATATTGCAATGAACGGAAACTAATCAAGAAAGAGAAGCAACTTAGAACTAAGGAGAAATTTCCTGACAGTTAGAACAATTAATAAGTGGAACAACTTGCCTCCAGAAGCTGTAAATGCTCCAATACTGGAGGATTTTAAGAAGAGATTGGACAACCATTTGACTGAAATGAGCCAGAGGTTGAAGTAGAATGCCTCCAAGGTCCCTTCCAACTCTGTTATTCTGTTAATTAAGAAAAAGCTGACATTATTTCAGCACCTGAAAAAATGCACAAACATTTTGGGAGCTTCTGTATCACAGAATAGGTAAGACAATATTCGTTCTTCATATGGCCATTCTACTCTTAAGGCTTTGTCAGCCCCTCCAATTCTATTTGCATCCAATTCTCAGCAGATGAAAGATACTTCTGGACCAGCCAAGAGTTAATCCTCCATGCAAACACTGAAATCTCTCTCCTCAGCATTTTCCCAGTCTTTATACATGTTAGGGTCAGATAGAAAGAGGCAGCAACTGTCTTCCTTTTCAAAGGAATTTTCATTTTGTTGCATTCTCACCTGATCGTTGTTTTCCTACTGACCACATACTGGACATGCAAGAATGACAAAAAGAGTGGGTATTTCTGTAGATCTCAACCCTGCAAAGTTTTTGTAACCTTTTAAAATGATACTTGAACATCTGTCATGAGGATTTGGTATTGCTTGAGCATTCCACATAGCTAGCTTTGCTTTTTATGTACCTATTAAATAAATATTGTCAGACTATGAATTACTGAAAATAATGTAGCCAAAACATTTTAAGACATTGATGAGGTAATGTAACATCCTTTATTTATTAGCTAATTACTTAGAAGTGTTGGTATTTTTTGAGTCCCTTTATGATTGGCACTACAAGACTGACTAAAAACATAGTTGAAATATCCTGCCCTTGAAAAGTGGTGGAAAACTCAGTTAGAACAAAATGTAGTTGTCCAGACTGTTGGATGGTGTGGTCTTTAGATACCAACTACTGCTGATTTCCAGTTTATTTCCCACTCCCATTTCCTATCATTAAAGAATATGTTCCTGAATATTAATCTGCCTGTGGTCTACTTAATTCCACAGAAGTTAGTTTGGTATGTATTTAAGATAGAATCTTTTTTATACTGGTAACAAAGTCAGAAGTTTGGCACTAATCCCTGCTACAGGACTTGCGCTATACAGGCAGTTCTTGACTTACAACAGTTCATTTAGTGACCATTCAAAGTTACAACATCACAAAGGGACTTATGACACGTTTTCACACTTATGACCATTGCAGCATCCCCATGGGCACGTGATCAAAATTCAGATGCTTGGCATCCGATTCATATTTATGACGGTTGCAGTGTCCCAGGATCATGTGATCATCTTTTGTGATCCTCTATCAAGAAAAGTCAATGGGTAAACCAGATTCACTTAACACTCATGTTACTAACTTAACAATTGCTGATTCACTTAACAACTGTGTCAAGAAAGTTCATAAATTGGGGCAAAACTCGACAAAGGTCTCACTTAGCAACATAAATGTTGGGCTCCATGATTGTAAGTTGAGGATTACCTGTAGTTTTAACATATACCCTACCTCCAAATGATAAATTGTGATAACCTCTGCCACCACTTTTCAGCAGTAGAGTTTAAAGGAGATGCCAGAAATAAATGAAATAAGGGATTTAAGGCTGCAAGGTTTTAATATATGTTTCATGCATGTTTTAGTTTTATTTGATGTTGGTTTTTTTAACTGTGTAATATAGCAATAGCACTTAGACTTATATACCACTTTATAGTGCTTTACAGCCCTCTCAAAACAGTTTACAGAGTCAGCATACTGCCCTCTTCATAATTTAAATACCATGGAATATAAAAAAACCAATAATAACTTTTATTGTTGTCTTAGTACTTGGCTTTGGTTACCTTGAAATAACTTGATTCTTAATTAACTTGGAAAAAGATCCAGAGAAAGAAGGTGTCACTGACATAAAGGCTGAAGATGAAGAGGTGAGAAAAAGCATGGCTGCTGAGCCTGTCCTGGGAGACAACAAGACTGACAGCCTGAGGCAGGAGGATGGTAAAGAAAAGAAATGTAAACACAAAGGGAAAAAAGACTGCGAGGAGCAGGGGAAACCCGAGACCACAGAGGCAAAAGACAAAGATCACATTCCTAGTAAGAAGAGAGAACTAAGTGCAATAATCACAACTCCATTTCTATTATATAAACTTTAATGTATTTCCTTGTTGCTAGTCCTTTTGTGGTTCTGTGCATTTGTGTGAATAGCTACAGGCAGTGATGGAAAAATAGACTATTTTTTAAAAACCACATTGTGAAAGGGTCAAATCAAGCACCAGAAAGATTATTACTCAGTAAGTAGTTCATATTTGCTTGCAAGCCAAGTTTTTAAAAAACAATTCTATGAGCACGAACATATCTCTAGGCCATTTTATATTGTTGAGAGAAATATGTAATAAAGTTTTCCTGGTCTTGAAAACATCTGGCAGGGGTGTGTGTGTGTGTGCTTTTTTTCTTCACATGCTTATATTACTTATTTTTCTCATTTAAAAAAGTAGTATATCTATATGAAGAAAAAAGGGCCACATTTTTTAGAATGATGATAGCTGGTTTTAAAATAAATTTTATTAATAAAAGTCTACAGGTTCTAAAAACAGTATCAATTCTTCCCTTTAGTGGGTAGCTCAACATTCATAGTGCTACTTTAAATGATATTTAACTATGTTCAAAAGATTACCTACTATTCGTAATTATTGTATTATTATTTTTGTTAGGCATTTATGTATAATGTATATAATTGCACCTAACAGATATATACTGCTGAATCATAATAATTCCGTCTAAACATCTGACTGACATGCAAACAAAAATAATATGTATAATATTATTAAACAAAAATTGATTATCCCAGGTCCTTGAGAAGGATAATTGGAAAAAAATGCCAAACCCAGTCTAAACTATGTGACCACCATAACAATTTAAATTTGTATACAGCCCAATTCTTATATCAGTAGATATGGTTGAAGCCCTTCATGGTCCCAACCATATCTACTGGTATAAGAATTGTATATTTCTTATATAAGATTGTATATTTCTATCTTAAATTGAAATTATAGTTATAAGCATTAAGGTTTGTGTGCCCTGAGCCTGTTTTGTTTTAGCTGAGTCGAAGTTTCTACACTTGCTGACAAGATGGTCAATCCAACATTTGACAAGCAAAGAAGAATCTCCTTGAAAGACTTGAAATAAACCAGATCCATTTTGGTTCATCAGGATTTCAGTTGTGCTGATGGATGAACAAAAGCAGACAATCCTTCAAAAAGATCAGCCCTGTCAAAAAGCAATGATCATTTTACCCAATCTCGTCCTCCTAGTGCCTTCTTATCAACTCTGAATGTCTTGCAAGTTCTGAAAATGCTACAGAAGCTGGCCTACTTTGCCCTTGGTATATAAATATCTCATATTCTCCTTTTTCACCTTGGACCTTTATACGATAGAGGAATTCCTGAAAACATACAGTGATATCTGAAAAATATTGTCATTTAAATTTCTCCAACTTGTCTTGTTTATCTGTTTATTTTCCTATATCAAGATTGGAGAAAGCAGAATCCTAGAGAATTTTATTTATACACACATACGCACACACATACATACACATTAAACTGCATAGGATCTCACGTAGGTACACTACTAATATATATTAAGTGATCGATATAGATGGATGTTAAAAACTAAATTATCCATGTTGCATTTGCTCCATGCAATTTTGCTGAATTTTAAACATTATTTATGATGTATTCAGCACAATACTTACTAGTGCAAGATGCACAAGACAAAGAGGGATTGGTAGAGTGCAATTTTATGCCAAAACAATATGAGTTTTAATTATAGTTTATTGCATTAGTCATGGTGATTAATCATCATAACGTAAGCCAAATCCAAGCAAATAACCTAGTATCTTAATAGGAGATTATGCACTGAGATATTTAATTATTTATATTACAAATCTTGATTTAATTTGCCTTAATCATTTTGATAGATATTAAATAGATAATTTGAAATTGTTTTTTTAATACTGGTTTTTTAGTTATTTCTACTAGATGATCCATCTGCCTTTTGCACAGAGGGGTGATCACATGTCTGTTAGAAGAAACAGGACAGTGGATTGCATAGCATAGGCCTCATTTGAAAGAATCTGATTTGTCCTCCAATTAGAACTCATTTTGTAGTCCCAACTGCTAATTTGCCCCATAGTTCCTCCTCACATAAATTCTAGGTTTGAGGTAAGATTGAAATACCAACTCTTTCTTCAAACTTTGAAACAGAAAGGAGCTGATACTCTTCTCTGACATCTGGAAATTTCATTTGGACTGTGTTCCTCAACCTCTAATGTCCATTCCTTGAAAAATAGATAATCCATCACTTGTGCCGTTCCTTCACTTTTAATTGCATTGTTATGAAACAATATATGCTATTCTCTACCATCTCCTGGACCATCTTAGATCTTAATTTCAAATAGCTTTTTGTGTTATAAAAGTGGAAGAGTCAATGTAAGTTCCAGCCAAGGGCTCAGCAGTAAAGTGGGATATCCTTAGATGTAGTATCTCCAGATTCTTCTGATGCTGCACAAGCTTTACAGAAATGTGCCACAAATCCTGAGGTAATTTGGATAATCCTAAATCAACAAATCCCAATTTAACATCTTCACATATGCCCAATGAGATTATTTACTTTAAAGTCTGTTTTTTTTGGCTCCAAATGAAATAAAATACTTCCCAGGGTGACATTTAAAAGAACACTTTTATGAGCTCAGCATTTGGACAGTCAGGATGAAGTGGGACAAAAGGAAAATGTAGCCTTGGTCTACCCTGCTGAACAACAATGGTTTTCTCCCAGTAAGACAAAAAGGAAAGTGTTATTTTAAACTACAGAGCTTTCATGCAGTCCCTTTTGTAGAAAGAAGAAAATCCATCTGGACAGATGTCTTGTTTTCATGCCAGCTTCCTAGATTGTTACAGATCACCCCTGCTTTCTTCAAAGTCTGAAGCAGCATAGCATCCCTTTTAAACTGCTCTGTGCAAAGTCTGTAGATAAATGGCCCATTATTCATTTGCAATTACTTAATACAGTCCAGACTGGATATGTTTCTTTTTACATTGCTGCATAGCTGTATTTATGGGTTAAGGTTTATCATTAAATTTATTTGCCATCCAGCTTGCTGCAAAGCAATTTCATGATGGGGAGGGGATCTCAAATGCCTATTCTCTCCCTATAACTTAAAAACTGCGTTTGTAATTTCTCTAATTGTGTACAAACCTGCTGACTGAGGCAACTTTGTTTTCCCTGTGATAGAGGCAACCCTGCTTTCCATATATTAGCTGTGGAAAATTATTTGCATTGGCAAAATGAAAATTTCACCAAATGAAATTATCTTGTAATTTCTCTAAAAATTGGCAATTAAAGCAATATGGCCTCTTTTAAAAAAAAATTCTGTGTGGAAACCTAGCCACCATTTTTAATGTTAGTGCCACTTCTGAAGTTGTGAAGTTTTATCTAAAAATACCTTCTAGTGATATCACCGAATTTGAGATACCCACTAAAGGAATTAATTAAACTAGGCTCACCCTTGTATATGCAGTGGTAAAACCAGACAGAAGGATGATAGAATTCATAAACATTGTGTCAGTTACAAGTGATTGGTGTTAGATGGTACTTTACTTGATAGTTACCACAGGCACACACATACACAAAAACATTCTGTAGGTCTGGTTTTGTTTCCAGCTTAATGTAGTACAGTAAGAATATATATATCTTCTTCTTCTTCTTCTTCTTTTTCTTCAGCGTTTGTCTCGCACTCTGGCGAGGTCCGCTAATGTCCTTGAGTACTGCTTCCACGCCTCTCTGTCTGCCACGTATGTCGGGTCTGCCTTCGCGATCTCTAGATCGGCCTTGATCGTGTCCATCCAGCGTTGCTTAGGTCTACCACGCGGTCTCGCTCCTCCGACAATCACTTTCATCGCAGATTTGATGATGGATTCTTCCTTGGCGCGACTCACATGGCCGAACCATCGTAGCCGGGATTGCCTCATGACCGTGGGGATGGGCACGACGTTGAACCGTCTACGCACTTCTTCATTCCTGACGCGATCGAGTAGGGTGAGGCCTACCGACCATCGGAGCATTCGCATCTCCATTGTCTGGAGTCTGTTTTCGACTTCTTTGGTCGTCGGCCAGCACTCTGCGCCGTATATGGCCACGGGGCGCACCACAGAGTTATAGATTTTCGCCTTCAGGCGCATCGGCATCTTCTTGTCACAGAGGACACCCGTGACGGACTTCCATTTGCCCCACGCTGCGTTGATCCTGGCTGCCACCTCAGTTTGTAGTAGGCCTTCTTCCCCAAGAGTAGTTCCCAGGTACTTGAAGGTGGAGGCGCGCGGTAGCTCCTGCCCGTTCACGTGGATGGAGCCTGTCGGTTCGTTGTCAGTGGTCAGGTATTCGGACTTCTTTAAGTTCAACCGGAGCCCGAACTGCTCGAGGCGGTCGTGCCACTGTTGGACTAGGTGCTCGAGTTCAGCCTTGCGCAGGTTGGCCAGGAACACATCATCGGCGTAGAGCAGCGTCCATGGGGCGGGCGTGTGCAGGTCGTGTGTAATTGTGTCCATCACCAGAATGAACAGCAGTGGTGAGAGAGCAGAGCCCTGGTGTACGCCGACGGTGATATTGAACTCCTCTGATATCCCAGCTGCCGCTTTTACACGGCTTTTGTGACATCTGTATAGGAGTTGGACCCATTGTACGAGTAGCTCAGGCACGCCATGATCTCGCAGTGCGTACCAGATGAGATCGTGCGGGACTCGGTCGAAGGCCTTTTCCAAGTCCAAGAAGGCGGTGTGGAGCGGGATTTTCTTCTCTCTGTGAGCCTCCATCAGCATCCGCACACCGAAGATGGCATCGGTGGTGCCGCAGTTCTTGATGAATCCGGCCTGGTTGACGCTGATGTCGACGATGTCCCGAATGCGCTTATCGAGGACGCGTTCGAAGATCTTCATAGTGTGTGACAGTAACCTGACCGGTCTGTAGTTGGAGCAGTCCGCTGGGCTGCCCTTTCCCTTCCAGATCGGAACAGTGGTGCTGCAGTACCAGTCGTGTGGCACTATTCCCGTGGAGACGATGTTGTTGAACAGCTCGCACAGCCACAATGCCGAGCCCGGTAGTGCCTTTTTCCAGAAGTCGGCAGGGATGTCGTCTGGTCCTGTTGCCTTACCGTTTTTCATGGCCTTGATGGCGTCGGTGACCTCGCTGGCGTGAATGCCTGAGACTGGGCCTTCGACGGGGTCACCTCGCGGGGTTCGTGGGTGTGGGAACTCCTCGGTGGAGATCTTCTCGAAGTATTGCCGCCACCTCTCGGCAGCGTCTCTGGGGTTGACGATCAAATTTCCCCTTTCGTTGTTGATCCCATGAAACTGGTCAATGTCCAGGGTCTTCCTGTGTCTGCTTTTGGCTAGGCGGTAGATCTCATTCTCGCCTTCTCGCGTGTTTAGCTTCTCGTAGATGTCGTCGTAGTGGGAGCTTCTGGCTGTCGCTACTGCTTTCTTGGCTGCCTTTTTGGCCGCCTTGTACTCGCAGAGCTTCTCGCTGGTCTTGTCCTGAAGAAAGGCCTTGTAGAGCCGTTTCTTCAGGTGCACGGCATCTTGTACTTCCGGTGTCCAGAGCCATGTATCTCGTTCGATGCGTCTCCGTCCTGGCTTGGTACAACCAAGCTGTTGGCAGCCGGCAGTGTGAACAGTGCTCTTCAGCATGGACCACGCTTCCTGTGGCCCGTCGACCATCTGCAGGAACTGCTCCGGTTTGATGAGGGGTCCCGCCATCTTCTTCTGGTTCCACCACTTGATTCGTGGCTGGTCTGCATTCTTTTTGTCAATCTTGGTCTTGGGCTTGCTGATCCTGATCTTCGCCATCAGCGGCCTGTGCTGACTGCTCGATTCGTACGGGTACACCTTGGCGTTGAGCAGGTTTTTAGCGGCTCTTCGTCGTACGATGATGTAGTCGATCTGTGTGTGGTGGTTCCCATTTCTGCTATGGTAGGTGAGGAGTTGGGGTTCTCGCCTAATGAAGCAGGTGTTCGTGATGGTCATATCATGGGAGTCGGCAAAGTCCAGGATCCTCTGGCCATTCTCATTCATATCGCCTGTGCCGTGTCCACCGTGGCACTGGTGTCCGTTTTTGTCCCGCCCTACATGACCATTCAGGTCGCCAGAGATGATGATGTCGTCTTCATATGGGATCTGCCTGAGTTGGATGTCGAGCAGTTCCCAGAAGGTATCCTTCTCCTCCTCGTGACATCCGGTCTGAGGGGCGTAGGCGGACAAGATGTGTAGGCGCTGCCTCTCGGTCGCTACGACGATTATCATCAGTCGTTCTGTGAGGCGCTTAACTTCTGCAACGGAGCTTTGCCAGCTGGGACTGACAACCACAGCTACACCGCCGCGGTTTTCCTTACAGCTGGTGTATATGATCTTATAGCCGTCTATAGTCGTAGCCTTGTTGCCCTTCCAGCGAGTTTCCTGGAGGCAGCAGATGTCCAGCTTCCTGTCCCGCATGGCCCTGACGATCTCGGTCGAGCGTCCAGTCAGCGAATCCACGTTCCAGGTGGCCACCTTGAGCGTCTGGCAATCCTCTGTTCCCCGCTTGCGATTTTTCACACGGATCGGGTAGTCTCCGTGCGCGTCAGACCCGGACGCGGCCGTCATAGCTTTCTCACACGGTGCAAGTGCGCCGTGCTTTCCGCGTGGACCATTTCGTTGATTTTTGACGCAGGCCAATGGTCTCCTGCGCCCGTCGGTTCCCCCGAACGCGGTAGCATTGGGCGTGTGTTCAGTAGTGGACGTTTCCACCATGTTGATGCGGCATTTGAGTACTCCAGCCGGCCTGTCGCGTGGGCCTGTCGTCGGAGGGTCTGCTCTCAGTTACGGTCAGCGTTTAACGGCTTCGCGCATCCAGGGGACACCACTTGGAGGTGGCAGACCGCTCGTATACATATACATATACATATACGTATATGTATATGTATATGTATATGTATATGTATATGTGTATGTATGGTATTCGGCTTGGTTCGGGTATTTTCCCACGTCATTGTAGTTGTTCTTTTAAAGTTGTAGCAACGTTTCAGCAGAATCTCATCTGCCATCATCAGGCTTCTGTATTGTGTCCGTCTGTGGGTCAGACTTTTACAGTGGTTTCAGATTTAAATTTGGGGCAGCCTATTGCTGTGCCAGAATGGTTTTTTCTTCATCCTGATTGGTTGGGAGTCTTGGTCTGTGTTTATTGGTCTCGGAGTTTGCTGTGTTCTGCTTGATTGGTGTCTCTAATATCTTCTGTCTGTTTTTTGGCTCTTTTTGTATCTTGATTGGCTGGCAGCATTGTGTTACTTTATTGGAGGCCTTTAGTGCAGCTTGGCTTCGGGTAAATGGACGGCTATCATTAGTTAGGAAGCTGGGTTTCATCTGGGTGCCTGGTTGGG